CCAGAAAACTTCCCTAACCTGGTGAAGGAAATAGACATACAACCCTAGGAAATTCAGAGTCCCAAACAAGATGAACCCAAAGAGACCCACACCAAGACATCATAATTAAAATGCCAAAGGTTAAATATAAAGAGAATCTTAAAAGCAGCAAGAGAAAAGCAGTTAGTTACCTACAAGGGAGCTCCCATAAGACTTGGGAGTTGATTTCTTAACAGAATCTTTACATATCAGAAGGGCTTAGCACAAAATATTCAAAGGAATGAAAAGCCGGGACCTACAACCAAAATTACTGTATCCACCAAAGCTATCATTTAGAATCCAAGGACAGATAAAGAGCTTCTCAGATAAGAAAAAGCTAAAGGAGTTCATCACCACCAAGCCAGTGTTACAGGAAATGCTGGAGGGACTTAAGAAGAAGAAAATAATATGTATCAAAAATATGAATAAAGAATGGCGATAACTACATATCTATAAACAATTACTTCGAATAAAAAAAGAATTAAATGTGCCAATCAAAAGACAGGGTGGCTGAATGGATAAGAAAATAAGACCCTTACATAGGCTGCCTACAAGAGACTCACTTCAGATTAAAAGACACACAGAGACAGAAAGTAAAGGTATATGGAAAAAGATTTCATGATGGACCTAGAGGGTATTGTGCTGAGTGAAGAGAAAGACAAATATCACATGATTTCATGTACATGCGGAATCTAAGGAACAAAATTTTAAAAAAAGAAAAACTCATAGATACAGAGAACATTTTGAGGATTACCAGATGGGGAGGGGGTTTGAGAGGCTCAGTGAAAAAGTAGGGAGGGATTAGGAAGTACAAATTGGTAGTTACAAAATAGTCATGGAGATATAAAAGTATAGCATAAGGAATATAGTCAGTAATATTGTAATAACTATGTACAGTGTCAAAAGCATACTAGTTTATTGGGGTGATCACTTTATGAATTATATAGATGTCTAATCACCTGAAACTAATATAATATTGTATGCCAACTACAATTAAAAATAAAAAATATTGCTTTAAAAAATTAAATAAACAGATCATTTAAAAAAGATTCAAAAGCACTATGTAAATGCATATGCATTATTATAGCAATCACAATACCAAAAATAATTTTGTCATGGCATGCTGCAGTAATGAATGGTTTTCTCCTCTATTTTCCATATTTTCTTTAATGTTTTCCTAACTTTTGTAATTAAAATTATCTACAGCAAATCACGAATATAAAAACAAGTGCCATCTCATAGTAATTTTGTTTTTACTTAACTTTTTACAGGGAATCACTTTAAAAATGAATGAGCTAAATCATTGTATTGTTGCAAGAATTATGCATGGAGGCATGATTCACAGGCAAGGTAAGTTTCATATATTCTTTCTTTTCTTTCTTAAATTATTTTTCCTGTAGCCTGGTGGAGAAAGTGTTTTTTATGATCCATATAAAATATCTGTTAAATTTATATTCCATATAAATGATCTATCTTTTGTTTTAATCACTATTGGCCTCTATTTGTTCTTATTCATCCATGCATGCTCCAGCCTATAGATAATGGAGGGAGAGCATATTACAGTTCTGTTGCTGGAGCATCTCTGAATCACTGTTTAGATCCTGACTTATTAGAGACCATGGAAGATAAAGCAAAGCATCCTATTAAGCCCCAGGATATATGGAAGACATCTATTGTAGGAAATAAAATATATATATTTTTTTAAAGTTAAGTGACAGTTAAAGAATTGATCTCTCTATTCAGGGCTGAGATATACTATTTATAAGTTAGGAAATTAGAATTTGATAAATAAAATAAAAATTCTGTGGTAAAATAAGAGATATCAAATCTATGCTTAAGTTCTTATTACCTACTACAGTAAAGTGCAGTCATTCCAAGGAAGGAATTCACTAAAGACTGAAGTAGACTAAGAATGATTTTTTAAGAAAGTGAAATTTTTGTTAACCCCAGGTGGGCAGGATTTACACAGGCTCCTCTTTGAAAGAGCTGAGTTATATGCACTAGTATATAGAGTCTGATCCAAAAATGATTCTCTTGTCCAAAAATCAGAATTCCTTTCTTTGATATAGGGTTACTTTTGTACTTACCCCAGAGAGCAAGAAATAACACTGTAAGCATTTTACTGCCTTCCTGTCGTCTTAGAGATGACTGCTATGTACGCAGATGGTGTCTGACATTACTGCTGCCTTCAGGGGAATCTTTATAGGCTTAGAGAGTAGACAGCATTCACACAGGAAGATGTTTGGTTTTAGATTCCGGTATGAATTTTTTGTTTATTATTTTTAATAATTTGCTATAAATTCAGTAAAGTCACAATATCATTATTTCTTTTTTCTCTTTTTCTTATATTACTGCACTGGCTAGAACCTGCCGCCTCCAATAGAAGTCGTATAGTGGACATCCTTGTTCTATTCTTGACACTTTTTTTTTAGCTTTTAGTTTTCAATTACAGTTGACATGCAATATTATTTTATATTAGTTTCAGGCATACAGCATAGTGGTTACACAGTTGTATAATTTATGAAATGATGCCCTCAATTAGTCTACTAGCCACTTGCCACTATATTACAATATTATTGACTGTATTTCCTGTGCTGTACTTTATAGCCCTGTGACTGCTTTGTAAATACCAATTTGTACTTCTTAATCCATCCATCTTTTTCACCCAGCCCCTAACCCCACTTCCCACCTGGCAATTAGCAGTTTGTTCTCTGTATCTATGAGCTTCTTTTCATTTTGTTTGTTTATTTTGTTCTTTAGATTCCACATATAAATGAGATTATATGATATTTCTCTTTCTCTGTCTGACTTATTTCACTTAACATAATGCCCTCTAGGTCCATCCATGTTGTTGCAAATGGTAACATTTCATTTTTTTATGGCTGAGTGATATTCCATTGTATATAAGTACCAAATCTTCTTTACCCAGTTGTCTATTCATAGACACTTAGGTTGCTTTCATATCTTGGCTGTTGGAAATGGCACTGCAGTGGACTTAGAGGTGCATATATCTTTTCGAATTAGTGTTTTGGTTTCCTGTGGATAAATACCCAGAACTGCAATTGCTGGATCAAAAGGAAGTTCTATTTTAAATTTTTTGAGGACCCTCCAAACTATTTTTCTTAGTGGCTGTACCAATTTACAATACCATCAGCAATGCACGAGAGTTCCCTTTTCTGCACATCCTCACCAACACTTGTTCTTCGAATCATTGATAATAGCCATTCCGACAAATGTGAAGTGATATCTCATTGTGGTTTTAATTTGCATTTCTCTGTAGATTAATGATGTTGGGCATCTTTTCATATATCTATTGGCCATCCGTATGTTCTTTTTAGAGAATTGCCTATTCAGGTCCTTTGTCCACTTTTTTTATAGGCGAGGCAACCCTTGGTTGACCTCACAGATAGCAAGGACCTTGTCAGCTTACAATCCCTTATTTTTTATTTTTTTTTACACCTATAGCACCTGGTCTTCCTAGGTGGACTCCCACCCAAGTACTAACGAGGCCTAACCCTGCTTAGCTTCCGAGATTAGACATGATCGGGCTTGTTCAGAGTGGCATGGCCGTAGACTTGCCCATTTTTTTAAATTATTTTTTTATTAAGTTTCTTGGGGTAACATTGGTTAATACAATTATATAATTTTCAGATGTACATTATGATTTGACATCTGTATATTCTATTGTGTGTTTACCACCCAAAGTCCAGTTTCCTTCAGCTACCATATGTTTGATCCTCTTTACTCACTTCACCCTCCCCCTACTCCCTATATTTGACCCCCTTTACTCTGTCTACCTCTCCCCTCTTCCCCCATCCCCTACCCTCTGGGAACCAATAGT